TATTTTAAAACAAACATCTTAAGATATTAGTTTGCAATGTCCAAGGAATTAATCCCAAAAATATGCATTCATTGCATGTAACAACATCCTTCGTCTTCGTGAAGAAAAAGTAGCCCTAGTGGACTAAAAGGGGTTCCTAGATAAAGGCAAGGCTTTGTACAATGATATTATGACATTATTAACGACATGATATAAATATACATTATTTTTTCATAACATATTATTGGTATAGAGTATTTACCAATTTTAAAATCTAATTAATTGTTTTTAGTGAAACATTTCCTTTCAACTCTGTTTTTTTTTCTCATTCACAATAATTAAACTTAAATTTTATTACAAGAGACGGGATAAAGTGCAATTTCATATCTTCACAATATTAAAAAAAAGATCACAAACATTATTTTATGTAAATTAATGAAGTATTTGAGCATGTTAAGTTACTAATCCATTCCAAGAATCTATCACTGTTTTAGATTAGAGTCTTTAATATATAATAATGAGAACGATATTTGAATTCAGAGTCTTATGCAAAATTCTTAAATTTCTTGCTATTATATTAATAATGTTCTAAGCGAGCTTTAGCTTCTAGTTCCGGGTCTAAATTATTTAGGATGAGAGATTAAAGTTTACACATTTCATATCCTTAATCGTTGACTAGGGAATTGTTAGGCATACAAGAGAGTAAAATATCGAGGATATTATTATTAATGGCTAAAAAGCAAGGTACAAGCAAATTAGGTTTCCATCCACTAATATAAAAACTTTCATGCATTCTTGGTTAAGTTATTTATCGGATTGCATAATTTGTATCCCTTGTGAAGAAATGATAAAGTAAAATACTGAAAAAATATTATTATTCAACAGTTGGATATATAGTTGTGGGTGAAGTGCGTAATCTGAAAGTTGAATAGAAGTTTATGACGGAAAGAGTGTTTGAAGAAATTAAAGAAAAAACAAAAAAAAATCTAAATAGTTGGCGTCTATTCTTAACATGATCTAATCCTAAATGAGAAGAATATACAGAGAGGAGAAAAGGTGGGTGTTTGAAGGGGACCCTCATTTGCTTACAGTAGTGGGTTAAGAATTTTGAAAGAGAAAACATATGGGTGGCACAGTAGGAGGGTTTTGGAAGACAGAATAAAAAAGTGAACAGAAGACAGAAAGTAAGGGGATAACTAAATGGAAACAGATTGAAACAGGGACAAATGTGGGAGATAATCCAAATGTTAATGCGGATTGGTGAGTTGATATGGTGTTTAGCATTGTAATTAGTAGCAGCACTAGAATACAATTGCTACAATCTCTGACGAAGGAACAGAGACAGAGACATAAGTGAATTGTTCTCCATTTGGTGGGATTGAGCCAATGGGCAGAAGAGGCCGAAAGGTTTTCCTAGTTGTTGACCTAACGCAGAAAAGGCCAAAGTCGAAGGTGGCCCGCACGTTATCGACGCAGAAACTTTGATTTTTATTATTAAAATGAGGGAATAAAAAAGAAGACAAAAACAAAAGAGAGAGAGAGAGAGAGAAAGAGTTCAGTACCCAAAAAGAAACAAATGGGCAAATGGGCCATTGAATGCAGAGTGAGAAAGAGAGACGAAAAAAGAGGAAAAAGGAAAAGGAAGCAGAGGAAGAAACAAGGAAGTAGTAAACAACACGGCAAATATGTTTGGAATAATGTGTGTGTGTGTGGCACATGCTTATCCACCGCTTCTATGTTAGGACAACATATACAGCCAAATACTTAAATGCACGCTACCCTTTTCTTCTTCTTTTTTTTTCTCTTATTTATTTACTGTTTTATTATAGAGAAATATTATAAATGATTTTACCTCTTTGGAGATGTACCCCTCTTACCATGTGTTCTTCCCCCTCTTCTCCCTAAAGGAAATAAATACTCTTTCTAGAATAGAATCAATATTTCTCAACAGTAAAATAGGGAAAACTCTCACCTTTTCTTCTTTGAGGTGGAACACAAGTACTTTCTCCCTCCCCTACTCGTATCTTTGTCTACTATGGTTTTCATATTCAATGGTTTTTTCTTCCTGTGCTGTTTTTTTCTCTTAAAAAACTACTAACACTGTTATTGTCCACATAATTGGCTAACCATCCACTGAGGAGGCAAATTCGCATTTGTTTCTTCTTTTATTATAAAACTAGTGTGCACTTGGTACCCTTCAACACTGGACGCGTGTCAGGGAAAAGGGTCCACAAAACTCAGAAGTTTCCTGGTGAATGCTAATGGCGTCACTAGTTTTCTTCTCTGATAATTAGTTTGGGGGACCAAAAAATAAGATAAACTATTAAAAAATGCTTGGAAATGTTTCATTTTTTGTTTCTAGTGTGTTTCATGTTTGAAGGATTGATCAAGATATCATGATTTCGATAATACTAAATCGAAAATTTATGATCTAAGAGTGAAATTTCTTTCAAACTAGACACGGTCTTTAACCTATTCCTCTTCGTCACATTTAAAGAATAATTTCTCTCAACATTATTTTATATGCAAAATTCTAACTTGAGAGAGGTTGTTACATTACAGATGATTCCTTATAAGAAATCATCAATACTTACGGGTGTAATAAGAGGGTAACTGAAAAATTGTGAACATTTTTCGTTTAATGATGGATAAAAAACTATGTAAGAAATTACTTTTGTATGAATTATTATCGACAAATTTTAATATCTGTCGGTAACTTACACAAAACGGATTAATATTGTTTTGTTTTTATATTGTTGACAATATTGCCTTGTTTTTGTCCTTCATCCATGACATAGGTTCACGTGTAAACTCATATTGGTATTATTTTGTGTTGAAATAAGTTTAGGATATTACTAGGTTCATTTTCATTTTACAGGTTCACTTTCTTTGCTCCATCTAAATATTTTTATAACATGATAAAGAATTTTAAAAAATAATATATTTACTCAAAATTCATGAGAATAATTTAATTATTTAAATTTTATAAAGTTTAAAATCTCATTTAAAAATAAGAAATTGAAATTTTTAGTGCTTTTTTTCACTTTTTGTCTTATATCTATTATTATTATATTTCATATTTAACTTAATTTTGATAAAACATCGTCAACTTGTAAGATCAGAGTCTATATTATTTTTGTAGTTGATTTTCGTATAAGTTTCTTTCAAGTAGTTAAAGTTAATCTAAATTGTTTTTTAATTACAATCGTTAATATTATTTTTTTAAAATATAAAATGGTTTTATTTTTGAGTTGATGTTAATGAGGATTTATTTGTTGGAAGGTGATGTATTAACAATCCTATGAAAAAAACATATTTATTGTATAACTCAATTTATTAATATAATAATCATAAAAAAGTTTTTATAAGAATAAAAATCATTTAAAATTAATATTATATTACTAAATGAAGTTGCTGATTGATGTACTTTAAGAAAAAGTTGTCAAATAATTTTTTTATTATTTATTAACGGTTGACATCAAATACAATTTTATCAATGACAATTAAAATTTACATAGTTGACTCATTTTATAGAAGAATTAAAATTCAATATTTTTATCTTTTTTATAAAAAAATAAAATAAAAATAAAGAATTAAATCCAATATATTTAAACCTTTTAAAAATATAAAATTCTTTATCTATACACTGTATACAACATTTTCAGTGTAGTGATAGTTAATGTTCCTGCGGATGGCTTGTTTAAGAAATAAGATCAGATTGACTGCTTTGTAATCTCGTAAATGCTTGGTGACGTTAGCAAAATAGATTTTCTGCAATATTCAATACGAATATCTGTGTAAAAGCACCATTCTTCTTAAAGTCGTAATTTTTGTTGTTTTGTTTTAAAGAGCAAATGGTCGAAGTTTTCATCTTTATTTTTGGTTTAAAGTTCTATGTTTTCAATATTCAAGTACCGTATTTGAATCAGTGGCGATCACGTTCCTCGCCCGAAGTAATGAAGCTGTAAATCTAATTTTCTAAAGTTTAAAAAACAACAAAATAAAAATTTAATCAATCATTACAATTAATTGCTAATATTATATATGTTAAGGTAAGTTGATTTTGGAACTTCGATTCTTTATGAATTTATTTTTAAGAAATATAATCTAAAAGAAATAGATGTATTTAAATTATTCTTAAATATAATTTTAAATAATACGATACTGATCGCCATATCGAAATATATATATATATATATATATATATATATATATATATATATATATATATATATATATCGAACCATAAATATATTAGAGCGTTAAGAATTAATTTTAATAAAGAATCATAACTATTTCGTTGTTTTTTTACCTCTGATAGTAATAATGAAATACAATAGAACCATTGACGGTAATGATGGAGTTGTTCTATAACATCTCGCATTATTAACGAACCAAAAAGTGTAAATTTTCCCGAAACATGCATGATTGGCCTATTTATGAGCATTATGATATGACACAGTTTTATATAAAAATTTATGAAAAGTAAATGCAAAAGTGCTGCCGCCATAGATTCTGCTATAGTGATTTATTTTCTCCACTGAAGAAAGAATAAAGCAACATGGAAAATGATAAGCCTTGTAGCGGATGCAGTAGGGTAGGTCATGACCATGGTATTTACAATAAGATAAATATTTAAAATTTCATTTGTAATATATACTTTTTAATTTCTGATATAACTAAATAAAAGAAAATTTAAGAGTATTATATGTTTTGTGTTATGTATAGTATAAAGAAGAAAAAAAAAAGAAAAGAAAATGAATCTGCTGCTTTAAGAGGAGGAGGAGGAGGAATGGTCCAAACATGAAACTCCACGCATCTATGTAGAGTAGGTAGCAATAGGAAATGTGCTAGGTTTTTTGAGTTGTCAAAGTTGAACTGAATCCCATTCTCACCACACCTTCATGCAAAGTGTTAACTCTAAACCCTAATAGATTTGAAAGAAAAATGAGAAGAGGAAGAAGGAGAAAGAAAGCGGTGTGGGTGGGACAGGTGTGGAGCAAGGAAAGGGTGTCCAAGGGATGGAAGGTCTCCTCGAAGCGTGTCTCACATCGAAAGGGCAATTTGATCATCGTATCAAACTCGTTTTGAGAAGCGGGACCCACCCCGCAGTCAAGAGCAACGTCAGTACGCCACTTGTGCCTACTGCACCATGGGAGATGGATAGAGATAGAAACAACGGAACCGCCTCGGTTTCACTCAATACGACAAAAATCCAAAACCCTCCCAACTTTATGCTATTTCCTTCAATTATGTTATCACCACTACTTTTAAATTATCACCAAATTAAATAAAATATCATTTTTAAAAGGTGGAAATTGTTGGAAAAGAAAATAGGGAAAGCACGAAAAGGAAGGAGGGTTTGATTGGAGAGTGTGACAAAAAAGATGGCGTCATGCGTGGTGCTACCGGACAAAAGACGTGTGAGGGGGTTTAGAGGGAAACAGGAGGGTAGTTTGGGGTTTTCCTAGAGAGGGAACCCTTTGTCGCCACGTGCCTTGGCGTCGGCCGCACGCAGGGAAACTCTTTTGTCTCCTTCTTCCCTTTTACTTCTGCTCTTCTTCTTCTCTTTTCTTTCCACCCAGATTTTTCATTAGGTACGGCTATTGCCAGACCCTGTTTTTGACTATTTCCACTCCCTTCCAGATCTACTGTCTCTGCACAAAATGTACTTTTCTCGCCTACAAAACTCATCCCACATCTCTTCAATTCGTTACAACAAGATTATTATTCCACCTAACCTAATCACACAATAATTATTTTTTACATATTTTCATTAATCTCTTCCAACACTAATCAACACCTATTAATTATTCCTTTCTCATAAATAACTCAAACGGACTGCATGTTTCATAGGAGACAGAGAAACCCCTTGAACGAGAATAGAGGAACAAAAACTGTACAAATACATGATCCATATAATTCATTTTGGAATATTTTGGTTTCAGAGTAACATCAGATAATCAATTAAGTTTCTTATATAACTGATAACAGTAGTATTTTCAATTGTTTAGTGAGGTTGTTTATGTATGTATTGACCAAGAAACTATGCTTATGTTTAGCTTTATATAAGGTGTGTACTCAACGCGTTGTAAATTGAAGAAATAATACCTCTTTTGCAGGATATATAATGAAATCACACAAGACACTTTTATTTTTTTTGGTCTGTTTGATGAGTAAATAATGAAGTGTGCAATGCAACTACATATGAGGTGCGATCCAATGAAAACTTTTGGCTTTATGCTAGGTTGGTTTCGTTTCTTTGGCAATTCCAATTCAATTTTCATTGAAATACTCCTTATATATATATGGTCAAGCCTCATGCCACATTGAAGATGCAAAAGCATTAATTATACATTGACAAAATGGGAAAAATATACCATTTTAGCTTTTATAAAATAAAATCAATATGAATTACTCATTATGTTAATATTAAAGAATTGAGCTGTGTGTGATAAAAAACAATCAGGTAAGTTGACTAATTATGAAAAAAAAAAAAACACCATTTGTCATTTGTTTTTTGTAATTTTGAGGACCAGAGAGATAAAATTAATCATAGCATTTATAAATTAACTTGAATTCGACCTAATAAAAATGCTATTAACAATTTGTATAATTCTTAGAGAAATTGTAGATAAAAGAAAGAAGGAAGAGGGGATAAGTTACCGAGTTGGTTGTGATGTGGGTTTGGATACGAAGTTATAAGGGCATATTGTAAACGAGGCCAAAACGGAGTTGTCAAGAGGTGAATAGTGGGGGAATAGAGAAAAGGGGGAAAAAGACAAAATAGAGAAAGGAAAATGGATGTGGGAAGAAAATCCAGAATAAAGAAATGGGAAAAAATTATGGCGAAAAAGAAATGGAAAAGTAAATACCAAAATGGTGGGTCCCATATTAACAGTTTAATTCGGCCGCCCGCTTTGTCGTCTCTCTCGTCTCCGTCCATTCCCGTCGTTCTTTTGCGTTTGACTCTCATCTCTCTCTTCTTCTGCACCTTCTTATTCTTCACCCTCCTCTCTCTCTTATCTGTGATTTCTCTGTGTGTCTTCGGTGTCATACATACACGAGTGTACCTTCGCCTTCCGCTAAACCTTCATCTAGGAATCGATCGATCGAGGGAGTGTTGTGCTGGTAGTGCAAGAGGCGCCAACCTGAGAGAAATACACAGATACGTACGTGCGTTCGTAGGAAGGTACGTACGCGGTAGTACGCACCGTCTTGCACTCTGTTCTTCTGATCCTTCGTTTCTTCGTTCCTTGTTATCATGAGGGTGCACGAGAGGGTGCTTACCGTGGGGATCACTGTTGTTGCTGCTGCTTCTTAGGCCTTTTCTGTGGGTTCCCCCTTTCCATATTCACTTTAGAGACACAGGAGAGACAACCAGACATGGCTGGCAGTAACCAAGTCAATCTCAATGAATCTAGGGTAACCTCTCCTCTCTCCTCTTCCATTTGTACCTTCCATCTTACAAATTATTATCCACTTCTTTTTCGCTTTCGGAACCTCTCATTTCGCTTCGCCTTTGCTTCTTGCTTTATTCCTTGTGTTGGGGCAGCAGCTTAAAGGGGTTTTGGTTAAGAAAGATGAGACACCGCTATTGGATCATCTGATTTTTTTTTTTCTTTGTACTTTGCTATTTCTTCCATTTAAGTCTTCTTTTCTTGTTCTCGCAACTTGAAAACTTGAGTTGGATTAGTATACTTTTGCCGTTTTGTTTCCATTCTCCTTCACTGCTTTTTCAATTGATTCTCTTCTTTTCCTTTTGCCCCTCCCGTGGGCACGATTGACTTGGGTGCTAGTCTAATACGTTTTGATTTTTTTTTATTTTTTTTTGTAGAGTGTTGTTCCGCTAAATACTTGGGTGTTAATCTCGAATTTCAAGCTGTCTTATAAGCTTCTTAGACGTGACGATGGAACGTTCAACCGTGAGTTGGCGGAGTTTCTTGATAGGAAGGTCCCCGCCAATGCAATTCCTGTTGATGGTGTGTTTTCAATCGATCATGTTGATAGAAATGCTGGTTTGTTTTACCGGGTGTATTTGCCAGTCTCTGGGGACGAGGCTCAATGGGGTATCAGAGACCTTGAGAGGCCGCTGAGCGCTACGGAAATTGTTCCTGTGATCATATTTTTTCACGGGGGAAGCTTCTCGCATTCCTCAGCAAACAGTGCTATCTATGATACCTTCTGCCGGCGTCTTGTGAGCATTTGCAAGGCTGCTGTGGTGTCTGTGAACTACCGGCGATCCCCCGAACATCGGTATCCTTGCGCCTATGATGATGGCTGGGCAGCATTGGAGTGGGTGAAGTCAAGAACATGGCTACAAAGTGGGAGGGAGTCCAAGGTTCATGTCTACCTGGCAGGGGACAGTTCTGGTGGGAACATTGTTCATCATGTGGCAGTGAGGGCTGCGGAGGAAGAAATTGAGGTCCTGGGGAATATTCTTCTTCACCCTTTGTTTGGAGGAGAAAAGAGAACGGAATCCGAATTGAGATTGGATGGGAAATACTTTGTGAGGCTGAAGGATCGTGATTGGTATTGGAGGGCTTTTCTGCCTGAAGGAGAAAATAGAGACCATCCTGCTTGCAACCCCTTTGGACCAAGGGGGAGAAGCCTTGCGGGACTCAAGTTCCCCAAAAGTCTTGTTTGCGTGGCCGGTTTGGATCTTCTGCAGGATTGGCAATTGGCATATGCAAAAGGTCTTGAGGATTCTGGACAACAGGTCAAACTTCTGTATCTCAAGGAAGCCACTATTGGCTTCTACTTCTTGCCAAACAATGACCATTTCTATTGCCTCATGAGTGAAATCAACAACTTCGTGAATCCTGACTGTTAATATACTCTACTAGTGCTATGACTACTAGTACTTAACCTTTCCTTACCTACAGGAGGCATACATAGCTAAAGCTTGACATTTTACTTGGGTTCTCTTTTCTTCTTTTTCCCACTTTTGTATCTTGTCTTTTTTCTTTCTCTACTTTGTAGCAAGGGTGTGTAGTTATAAAATTGTGTAGCATTACTTATTATCGTCATAACATCTATGGTGGTCAATTTGAGAGTTCTGTGACTGGGGACAACTGCTTCCTGTTCTCTCTGTTCGTGTCTTTCGGAAGGTAGCAACAGCTCTGGCAGTACCAGAACTCGGTTCATTTGGGGGTTTGGTGGAACCACCGTATACAACGCCTACCCCCCTTTAACGTTTTGAGCTTGATAGCAGGAGGGGAGATAGAAGATGAGGACTGATTCACTTTGATTAAGTGAATGTTTTTCTCTTGTAGCACTAATTACTCAATGTGAACTGGAGGATGCCCCTCTCTGTTATATGAATTTGTATCTTATATGTATACCTATGTTATAAAAATGTCTTGGATGTTTGGTTTTGCATTTAGATGGATTACTTGTCCTTCTTGAATCGTGGTATTGAGTAATTCAAGTTGTACGTTTTTTATATGCATACCTCCTCAAATGGAAGGGATTATTAGAAAAAACAGAATGGAGTGAAAGGAAAAAAAAGGAAGGGGAGTAAGCCTATGATATAATGTGAGGCAATTTAATTTGAGGTTGGCGTCTGCATTTGACCAGAAAAAGTAAAGGTAACCCTTTTGAGTTTTGTCTGTTATGAAAGGGAATTGTTTTAATTTTTGCCGTTCGGATTTTCGAAAATATAAAGTAAGATCATCAGCAGCATCTGAATCATAAGCAACAGTATAATAGAAGAAAAAGGTAGTACTAGTGCCCCGGTGGTAAAAAAAGATTAAACATTTGATATATTATTCTCTTCTTTTTTCCTCTGCTTTTCATTCATTCATCCATTCTAGTAATGTTCGAAAAACATGATTCGTCCGAAAAAGTTGATGCTAAATGTGAGAGTGGAAAGGAGAGTTTTGCGTTTTGTTAATGATGTGGTTGACAAGAAGTGTAATTGAACATGAGGAAATGGGGGAGGCTGAGTGTTGTTTTGTTCTTCAATCCTAAGAGCGTGAAGCCTAACCCATCCACCAAAAGGACAAGAAAAGCTTTCACGCGAAGAATGATTGGCAGGAGTTTGAATCATTAAATTTCTTTATCTTTCAACATCAGTCTGATTAATTCTTGTCATCTCCTTATTGCCTGTTCTATCAGGTCTGTTTGGAGCTTGGGAAAACAGCAAATACGGGAATTTGGCATTGTTTTGACGGGGGAACCCATTTTTTTAGTGGTTGGGATTTTTGGATCTATTCTTAGGGACCACTTTTGGGAACCCACGAAACCAAAAAGTCCAAATTAAAAAATTAAGCCTGTTGGGATTGCTTTAAAGTGTTTAATGCTCACTAAGTGGTAGGGAACAGCTAAGCTTGGATAATGACATTGAACCCTGTCTTTTATGGACTTTCTTGTGCCATATAATATACAAACATAGAGAGAGAGAGAGAACAATATAGAATTTGGGGTTGGTTTTGTAAGCTTGATTTTCACCAGATTATCTTCCTTAATTCATGTCTTATTGTGAATTGTCCTTAGTAAATTAGCTGTTTATGTCCTGAAAATATTCCCAAATACGACAACGGGAGGAGTCATTGTCAACAAAGGAGTTTTCTTTATTGGGGATTAAGGACAGAAAACTTCATTTGTTTGGTCGGTCCCTTGCTTTTTAATACAATATAAAAAACAATTACTTATTGCTTCTAGTTTGCGCGTTCACAACATTATCATGATTCTTCTATTCAGGTGTGTCATAAAGGTGTTGAAAGTTATCAAACCACTCTAAAGTCAATTTCGCAGGGTAAAAAAAACCCTTCAATCTTTAATTACTTTTCACACTGTCAAATTTTTCAGTTTTGTTTCTCAAGTAGTCTCTATCTTTAAAGTCATAGTTGAACGTTAAACCTGAGAGTCACCACAAAATATTATCCATCACTTCATCAGAAATTAACCCATCCATTTTTATTTGAAAAGCTCTATAAACTATGATTCTCAACAAATCAAATCATGGTACCTGTGATTAAGTGTCAAAACCTGATTCAGCAGAATGAGAAATTCATTATGACATTTATCTTTCTACTCTTCAAAGTCAAAAGTAGTTTTGTATACTCAGATGGGATCTACATAGTATGCAGTCGACAAGTGGAGAAGTATTGATAATTTCAAATATTGGTGCTAAAACAATGGTTATTAGAAAAGGCTATAGGTAGGGTTATCCTTTGAACATAGCATCTTTCTCAATACATTTTCAAAGTGTGACTTTGGAAATGTGACACGAAGTTCCTAAATATTATTAATGAGCTTGGGACGACAATGATAAAACAAAATATTCCCAGTATAATACTACTCATAGGCTCTGAGTGATTGTAGTTGTAGGCCAGTGGACCAAGCCGAACCACATTAACACTCTGCCAAGAAACTATATTAAAATACTTTATCCATAGTCTTCAGGCTACTTTTACTATCTTCAAAAAAAAAATCTCATAATAAATGTTTTTCATAGTCAATGCCATCTCCTAATTTTAGTCCTGAACTGATTGTCTATGTTATAAAAAAAAAAATAGAATGATTCTTTGGAGACAAAAAAAGAAAAAGAAAATGGTGGCAGTAAAAGAAATAAATAGATTTCTCACCTTTTCTATTTTACAGTGTGATAATATAAGCTGTTTTATGATCTAATAATTAATTAGAAAATGAATTATCCCAGGATGCATACTATTACTGTTCTCATGATAACAACGAAGGAGGAGAAAATTTTCTCTTTAAATATTCATTATATTTGTTAAAAAAATTATCCCAAATATTACCTGTGTCCATTTATGCATAGTATACATCATTCAAAATGAGATAGAATTATTAGAATTTAATACCTTGCTTTTTACTTTAATATGTTTTGTTATTAAGTTAATAAAAAAATTGTTTATTATGAAATAAAAATTAGAACATGTGTCCTTACTTTCACTTATCTTATAGTATATTAGTATCAACTTACAAAAGTAAGAATTGATTCTATCGGATGTAGGATGGGAATGAAACTCATGCACCAACCCGTCGTTCTAAGTTTCATGGAAAAAAATTGGGTTAATTGGTATTGAATTTAGATTTTTTTTTACTTTAAAAAATAAGATAAAAACGGATAAAAACGAGATAAGTAATGTAATTTTATCTTATGATTATTATATTTAAATTTAAATTTTAAAATTTATATATTTTAAAATATTTTATTTTTTGCTCACGTTATATATAATATTATTTTTTCTATATTTTACTCTTTTTTATTTTTTTATCCACTTTTCACTATTTTTTTTAATTTCTTAAATCAATCAGCTAATTATATTATTGTCTTTTTTTTATTTTTGGCTTTTTCACATTTTTTAATTTCTTTAATTAATTTAATTTTTTCAATCTTTTTAATGAATTTGATAAATACAAAATTAATATTTATTTTTTAAAAATATTTTATATCAATATTTATAATAACTAATATTATTTTATTTATAATTTATTTGTATTAAATTTTATTATATTATATTTTTAAAATTTATTATTTCTATTTATTATATATCACATTTTCTTAATAAAATAATTATATTTTAAAAAATTTTAAAAAATAAAAAATAAAAATTTAATCATTTTAAGTTAATTAAATAAGAATTAATTTATTAAATATTTTATCATAAATTATATATTTTAAATTTATAAATATTTTAAAATGAAAATTTAAAATATAATTAATTTATATATGTAATTAAATATTTAAATACACTGTTATAATATATATAATAATAGTAATAATAATAATTTATATTCATATAAAATAATTTCTTTTATATATATATATATATTTAATATAAATAAAATAAATTAAAATATATAATTAATTAATAATAATAATAACTAAAAAATATAAATTATAAAATTATAAATATCTATTTTTATATAAAAATACATTAATAAAATAGTAAAATTAATTTACTATATGTATAATTATTTATTAGAAACAATATAGAACTTAATTTTAACTTCTGTAGGGATCGGGCAGGGTAGTTAAAAAAGTCGCGAGTGTCGAGAGGCAAAATCCATCCCACCCGATTCCGTTGTCATCCCTTAGTGAAGTATGGGTAGGAGAAAATGAGAAATGTGAATAAAAAGAATAAAGTTTCAAAACTTAATACAAAGTTTATGAAACTAATCAAATTATAAAACAGTTTGATTCTAAATAATAGAAAGTGAAAAGTAATTAATATAAAAAAGAGAAACAAGTTTTTATTTATTAATAATAACAAATAAAAATATGTCACTTTTACTATTTAATTCTTTATTTATATAAATTAAAAAATTAATTTATAAAATTATCATCATTTAAATAAATAATTATTCAATCTTATATTTATAATCTTAATTTCATATATATATATATATATATATATATATATATATATATAAATTTTTAATTATATTATTCTAAACAATTGTTATAAATAAAAAATAATTATAAAAATCAAATAAATAATTTGATATATTTTTATAATATAATATTTTTCATTAATTAAAATTGTTAAGGTTCCAACATAAAACCAATTGACTGGAGTAGCCTTAACATGTATTTAAACCATATACCAAATGACAATAAACGGAAAGATGTTAGGCTTTGACTCGATACCATGTTAAGGTTCTAACATAAAATCAATTGGCGATATGTGGAGTAGCTTAACATGTATTTAAGCCATACCAAATGACATGAGGTAGGCGATGTAGAATTTTCAGCCAAAATTTTAATATTTTTGAAAAAATATATAGTTTAATAATAATCTTTTTTATATTTTTATATCAAAATATATATTATTGAAAAAAAATCTTAATTTAAAGTTGTTAGGTATTTTATTTATACAAAAATAATTAATAATTATAACAAGAACTATGTAATTAAATAAACATTATTTTTCAATTTATTTGTTTTTTATTTTAAAAAAATATTCTTTATTCTTTTTATGTGACTATCTTTTCAAATATGAATATTTTTAACTTTTTTTATTATTATTATTTTTTTCTCACATTTTTTTCTTAGTATGGAACGGACTCTTCAAAAAAAATTATGAGAAAACCACCCTCCTTGGTATATCATGCTGAAGCATATTTATTCATAAAAAAAACCATAAATAGAATAGTAAAAAATATTATAAAGTACTTACCAACCAAGGAATTCAACAAGTATTTGATGTAAACGACTTAATTGTAAACACCTTTACGTGCAACAAGGAGTAAGGAACTAGATATCGAACACTCTTGTAAACAATGGAGCAATAAAATAGTCACATTACCTTTAATACCATACAAAGTTTTTTTTTGTAGAAAGAATGCATATATTATGGAGATTAATAGCCCCTGGGGAAGGCAAGTTGCACTACATCTGCTTCCAACATCTGCAAACATAGCTTGTTTAGTTATCTTATCAGCTACATGATTGGCTCATCTAAAAATGTAGTTCCAGGATATAAATTTCTTGATCATGAATCGAATGAAATAGCTTGAACCATACAAAAGTTCAGTTGTGTACCGTGCAAAAGTTCAGTTGCTGATGAAACATACTCCAAATACAAGGTATGGAAACGCCAGGCAAAATCAATATAAAAAATAATAGCTTTTGTGAAGTGAAGTGAATTGGTCTGAAAAAACAGTAGATGACGATAAAAATGGTTGCAACTAACATCAGAGAGAATGGGGAGATATTTACTTTTCCTAACTTACCAAATTTTGACTAGTAGTCAAGATCTATTCAATGTAAATATTCACTTAAGTGCGCAACAAACTGGAATTAATAGACTTTTTCAGATACAGCCCTAGTTTGAAGTTCCAAAACCTGGATTATTTGCCAGCCACACTTTAAGTACCCTTCACAAAATATTTACTTTTCCAAAACCTGTTGCTCTTCTTTAAGCCTTAGTTAGGTTTCAGGAGCAGCTGTATTATTGAAAGTAACCAATCGTTAGGTCAAAGCTCTGTATTACATTTCAATACTCTCCTTTTCTTTGCAGAAGGAACCAAGATCAAAAGCTCTTCTACCTTCCGCTTTGATGCCTTCTCGAGGCATTACCAATATAATCTTTGGTATCTTCCAAAGCAATTATCTACATAAAAACACAAATAAAAAATAATACAGCTGCGTACTGTCTAGTACTATCGAGAGGAGTGTGCGATACAAGACCCAATGCTATTAAGCACGCCACCAATAAGGCCAATGAGCAAATAAAAGAGGCGTGCTTGTGTCTTCAACGCATAATAAATATCAGTGTTTTCTTCATGCTCCATGAATGATGAAACAGATGTTACTTCCAAAAGTTCAACTAGCATTTACACGATGCATAAGAAAACATTTTCGAATATAATTTATTTTAAGGTGGCAGCACAAATCCAAATTTTGTTTTTTAACTCAATCACCGATATATGGTCATTCAGAGATACAATAATGCAACAGGCTGTAGGAGCATGCAATGTGTAACTCCTGAGAGTTATTTCTTTTTTGCAATAGAACTTATTCAAAGTTAGGTATATGAATGTGTATCAAGAGCATTGCAGAAATGTGAATACAGTTGCTAAAGAGAACCTACAGAATATATTTGTCTGAGGAGCAATTTTAATAACATCTATTTCTACTATGTTCTCTTTCCCAGAGTAAAATGCAACGTGGCCTGCAATAAGACGGTTAGTTGAGTCAATGCAAAGAATGGAGGGGAAAAAATCCATACTGACTTGACCCACAGCCATTTCATTTACATTGGCCTTTTAGATATTTTCATCATATAAATCATGAAATATTTAACCTTCAACAAAAATGTTTACTACAATTTATTCTCATTACAAAAAAAATTCACCGTTTTGGTTTTGTAATTCAGCTTCTTGAGGGAGCAGGCAAACACTGAAACATGCTCCAGATACAACTTGAATGGTAGATCATGGAATGAGGAGGCTAAAATCTTTTCAAGTGGGTGAAACATCTGAGTCTATGGGTTGGTTAGAAGTTATTCTGGTTCCACTGTATCAACAATATCATTAGAAACATAAACTGCACCTCAGCATATATATATATACACACACACACACTTTATGCTGGAAATGCAGCTAAAGGAATTTCATAACCATGCTTGAACATTTGCCCCAGTGTTTTTAAAACCATGGAACTCTGGCCACGGTTCATGTAAGCTTTGTACAATATCCATAAAGTTTTCTTCGTGCAAACAAGCTTGACATTTTCCATCTCCTCAAGGACATCATGCAATTGATTTAAGGGTTTCTGTGACCCATACATGACCAGCTTACAATGATATAAGGAGCGGCAGATACTCCACCCAGAGCTTTCAGCACGTCTAACAAAATTTTCTAGCTTCTCTAGTGCATTGCACTGATAATAAGCCGTAATTATGCATCTCAAAATACCCTTGGTTCTTATAGAGATTCCGTGTTCAAATGCCTCATTTATAGCATTGTCCATTTTCTCTAACCAGACTTCCTTAGCATACAATTTAATCAGCAACACATTTAACCATGGCTTGTACTCGTTTTCTGGAATAAATTTCAACAATAACTCTATCTTCGACAGAAATTTATCTGCTTCAGAACTTCTACAATAGGCACATATCATACATCTGATTGAGGACATCGAATTTTTATTTACATAATCCCTTACAAAGGAATACATCTCTTCCATCTTTTCCACATTACCCGAATTTGCATATCCACGAAGCATTAGCAGGTAGGTTTTCGTGTTAGGCTTGATAGGGCCCGACTTCAATATTTGAAAAATATTTTCCATATCATCCCACATCCAACCTGTTATATATCCAGCAATTAACTGATTATAAGTGCTGACGTTCATGGGAAGGTCTAACTTTTGTATCTCCCTGAATGTTGCTTCCATGTAATCAATCAGCATCATTCTACCAAAAACAGATAGAAGAATGTTGTATGTGACAATAGAAGGATTGCAAGTCGGATCCCTCTTCAGATCACAAAATAAGGACTGACAGCGATCAACAAGATCATTGACCATAAAGGCACTCATTAGCGCATTGTAAGTGCTGGTTGTCTTGAGACCTTTGCTAGCAGCCTCCTTAAAGAGCTTAACACCTAAATCAATATCCCCAGATCTACCTGCAGCTTGTATAGCCTTTGAGTACTCTTTCGCATCCATACAGCTGTTCCTTCCCCAACTAAACACCTGAATGTGAACCAACACAATGCAAAATGAAAGAGGGCTACAATCAAATTTCATAAACTCCAATTTAGGACACCAGGAAAAAAAAAATCCAATCCTATAAAATCGGTTATATTCCTTTTTATTCTGCAATAATATAAGGTTCAGTGAACCACCATTAACTGAACAAAACTGGATTGATCTAAAATCAAACAGAAGTAAAAGAAACCAAAATAGAATTATTTTCAATATCCTAATGTATACAGAGAAACTTAAATATATATATATATATATATATATATATATATATATATATATATATATATATATATATATATATAGTCCAAATTACCGTTCAGTAAAAAAAAAAAAGTCCAAATTATAAATAAGCCAAACCCAAAATGCGGTTTTAAGTTGAGATGATAAAAATTGAACCTGAAGGACAAGAGAAGGATTTGAATTCAATTGATTCATAAGTTTGAGCAACGTAGATCCATCGGGGGAGCGGGGACTGAGAGCGTCAGAATTATCGTCCAAAATGCTTTGAACCCGACGAGGGTCGGAGGCTTCCCGAAGGATCTCCTCCCTCAGAGTCGTTACCTTGTCGACATGCCCTTCGAGAGAAGAGCAAGCCTGGTCAGTGAACAATGGAATGAGGTCAGAGACCAAGTTTGACAGCGTATTGAGCTTGCGATAAGCTAGCACGGTGGGAAAGGAAGTAATGGTTTTAGGCTTGGGGAATCCATGGAGGTGAGATTGGAAGAGCAGCAACTGAACTCGCCTTGCGTCTGAAGAGAATTTCCACGCTCGCTTCATTGTGTCGATGTTCAAATTTTTGTTAGGGTTTTACGCAGAAGAAATCCCCAAGAAACGCAATACTATGCAGGCCTCTCCTTATGTTTGGGCTTGGGCCTTTTCAGCCCATATTACGTTGTATCTTACCTGACAGAATCTTTATCGGAGCTTATTAGGTTAAATAAAATATTAATTGTTTTTGAGATATTGAATTTTTATATTTTTTCTAAATAAAGTTCACACTTAAAAATATGATTGATAATTTATTTATAAACTGAAACTACCATGTAAATAATTTGGGCTCCCAACCCACGACCATAATCCTTAAAAAAGTTTTGAGAGATGTTAATATGATTGAAAATATTAAGAATGTCAATTCGTTATCAAATTTTAACTCATTCATACTTAACCTAACCGAGAAACTACAATATACGCATTTATGATCTTATAACAAACTTCACTTATACCAAACTTGTATACTTAAAATTGGATTGGTAGATATTTAGTTTGAGTTTAAATCATAAAATAATGATCTCTTATAGAGTCACATAGGAAACAAGTAAAACCAGTAGCCTATGAGTATGGAATGGTTGGAGATGAGGTGATGAAGATGATAGCAACAATAAAAAATATATAATAATATATGGCCTCAAAATATTATAAAGGTCGCATGGAAACATATATATAAAATAAGATATCAAAACCGAAGCAATGCAAGACGGACTAATTTAAAAATAACATATTAGTATTAACTTACTCAATCATGGTCGGATTCGGTTAATGTAACACAATATTTTTATTACATAATATTTTTTTATTAGTATGCCATTTTGAAATATGTAGGACCTTGTGTACTTTTCTATTTTATTTGGTCAATTAAATAATATATACTTTTTTTCAATATTATTATTAAATTTTCACGTCTAATTGTTGGTATGATGTTTGTGTTATTTTTTACATTTAATATTGCTATACAAATTTATATTATTTTTTATACGTCTATTTGTTTTTATTTCTTAATTTATAATAGAAGATAATAAGATAGAACTGTTGATTTATTTTATATATTTTCATTTTACCACCACTCTTTTATTTTTTATTTTTTATTCTTTAAACTCAAAACTATAACTTATTTTAATTTCTAAAATAAATTAAATGTATTATTACGTTATTGTAGTTTTTATTTTTAATGGAAGGTATAACCGGAAATATCATAACCTTTATTGAAATAATGTTTTTAAACTTTACGATTTTATTATTTAATATTTGATTTTTTTTTTTAGGAAATTATCTAATATTTGTTAGATAGACCAAACAATTTTTAATTCTTATTATATACTTTTTTTTCTATCTTTGTAATTTCTTTTATTTGTTTATAGGAAACCTAACTTATGACTATTATTAAATTTAGAAAAATCTCACCTCAAAGTTCATTTACGTAATATATTTCACCAGCTTAGTTTATGATTAGATTTGCTGATGTACTCTTCACTGATCATGCACATGAAAAAATGGGATTGTTTACGTTGTATCTAGCAATATGAGAAGAAATGCGAGTATAAATTTGAAGAAGAGTGCGGTGTTACTCCTACATAAATATAAAAGAAGGAAAGTATAAAATCAGTCTTATCCTTATTTATGTGTCTTACATGAAATATTGTGCATGGAATCTCACAACTGATAATCCTTCACGTGGCTTGTATAAGAAATGAATGATTAGATGAGTATTTACTTGTTTATAAATAACAAGAGAAATTTAGTTAGATTGAAAATGTCATAAGACGTCTTTGTCATGAATACTCTGATTAGGTTCTCGAATTTCATTTGGTAGTATCTTTTACAGAAGAAGTCTTTGTCACGAAGGTTTATAAAATAAAGAAACTTAGCATGAGGTGAGATAAATGTCAGAATGGAAGTGCAGAATTATGTCTCAGAAGAAGACTAGATGACAAGGCAAAGTAAAGTAATTTTGGCCCTTTTACCTTGTCTTGTAGTGAAGAGGAAACATTCTAACGTTGTTATTCTTTAGGTCTGCCCACCTTTCTTTGCCTGAAGGCAAAATCTAGCAGGGATTTTATCATTTCCGCGGCAACGGCTGTTATTTCATTTTCCATCAAAACCTACATGCTATGCAATGAAATACATTTTTAAAATTATAAGTTGTACTTTTAAATACAATTTTATAATGAAAAAGAAAATATATATTTACAACTAGATCAACTCACCTAAATACTCTAATAGAAGGGCGATATTTTTGTGACATGAGAATCATTAGTCTCCCAAGTGTTTTGTTATGAAAAGGGAAACCGAGAAAATAGGAAATGTGTAAATAATAATTAAATTCTGCATGAAAACGACCGTGATGTCGATTGTCGAGAAAATTGAATACAATATACATTCATTCATTCAATCAGTACAATAAACAGTAAAAAAGCCTGAACAATTTGTTGGCCTTTTTGGTTTTTCTACTTACAACGGTTACCCATATTATATGGGTAAAATGAACCGTTACTTTCGTAGTCAAAACTCTTCGACAATTGATTTTGTTCTATAATCCTGTTATATTATGTAAACCCATATTAAAAGTAACCTCTTAAGGCACCCCGAAAAATCCTTTTCAATATTTGTAATTCATATTTGAATTTCATATCACAATTTTAATATAATGTTGTAAGTAAATTAAATTTTACGATTAGAAAATCTAGATGATAATTTATTTCCTAAATGAGGATAATAAATTTGTCAATATTAAAATTTGATCATTTTAATATCTGGTACGGTCAATGAAATAGTATGAATTAGAACAAATTAGAATGTTAATAATAAAAAATAAAATCAATTTGTTATTCATTATTTAGAAAATACTGGAACGGAGTAAAGCAATGTTTAAATGATTTTTTACATAATCATTTTTCAAGTAATAAAACAAAATGGAAAAGTTAAATATTTGTTAGAAAATAAAATTATGTATGTATGAATTAAAATTACTTTTTTGGAGAAACTAAAATCATGGTTTATAAAAAAAATAGTTTTAACTTATATATATATATATATATATATATATATATGAAATATTTTTTATTTTCAATTTTTATAGATATTTATAAAAATTAATTAAAATCTTAAATAAATAATAAGATATTTTCTCAATTTCAATTTTACTATAGTTTTAGTCATTTAAAAGTATTTTATGTTGAACGACTTTTTTAATGAAATATTTTCATAAAAGATACCTAGTATATTTTAATATATTTTGTACCAATAATTGTCGCCAAATTATGAAACTCTTTTTTAATGGATAAGTTAGATAACTCTTTTACCATATGCTCAGTAAAATTGTTATTGATGTTATATTATCTCCTTCGTATGGGGAATCAAAATTTTTTATTGCTTGTGGTAAGTAAATTATAAAATTTATTATTGAATTATCTCATTTCACTATATCTGTAGTATTTATGCTAACTTTTGATGTTTTATTTTAACTTTTTGACACTTAAATATGATTTTATATAGTGTCACTTTCTTTTTATTTTGAACCAATCAACTATTTTCTTAAGATCTTAGTGCATTTTTGTTATATTTGGATGTCTGCTCAATTTGCTTTTATGTGTTTATTTTAAAATCAACTTGCTAATATCTACATCATTAGATACACATATCCTACAATTGAATATCAAATTTCGTCCTATGCCAAAATTTTATCTATTCTTTTGTCCTATTAACTTATTTTCCTTTTGAATGAATTCATTATTCACCTGAGCCCCATGGATTTACCTTTGTAAATTACTAGTAATATGAATTGAGTTTAATTTATTCTATCAGGATTCATAGTAATTGATAATTTTATGTATCTGAATTTTTCTAGCAGACTCATCTCATGAATCATCATTAAAGAGATATGTAAAGATTTTGTGTTTAAAGCATCTGCCACTATATTTGTCTTTCTTGGATGATAATGTAATTCAAAATCATAATCTTTCAAAAAATTTATTCATTTTTTCTATCTCATATTTAACTCTTTTTTATCAAACAAATATTTAAGACTTTTATGATCACTAAAAATCTCGAATTTACCAACATATACACAATGCTTCATGAGTTGGTTAATTTTTTTCATGTATTCTTAACTACTTAGAAACATATGTGACTATCCTTCTATCTTGTATAAGAACACATCCTAATTCCATTTTGGAAGCATTACAAAGTGTTCAGTAGGATTAAGTAATGTTATCACTCTGTTAATCTTTTCTTGAGTTCTTGAAAACTATTTTCACATTTTCTTTTCATACATGTTTATTTTATTATAAATATATTAAAATTATTTAATTTAATACATTATATTTAAAAGATTTTACAAGATAATATTTTTAAATTATTTTTACAAACACTCGTGAAATAATATTTTTGTATATATATTCTTTAATATAATGTATATTTAAGTTTAAAAAATAATTTCATTTACTATTTTAAATTTTATTTACTATTTAGAGTTTTAAAGTATTTAAAAAAAAATTAGTTAATTTTAGGACCTGTAATGCATACGTGAAAAGTCACCGGTTGAGTGAAGTAGTTGGAGTGTTTTTCTTTTTCTTAGCCTCCTTGCATGATCCAACAGTAAACGCCACCAAACAATCAAACAACAAAAATAGTAAATTCTACCTAATCCAAGTTTTGTGTTTTTTACCTTTTTTTATCGACACATTTTGCTTTTGCTATTTCCATATAAGGTTACGTTGTACGATTTCTTATAAACTTGCTCTTTATTTTCTATGTATATAGTTTAAATATGAAAAAATAAAAATAAAGAAAAAGATATGGAAATAAATAAATTACATATAATGTGATGACAAAAATTAAGAGGATAAGAAAAATAGTAAACCTTTATTTCATCTTAATACTTAGTTTAATCTTTAAATAATTTATGTTTATATAAATATATCAATTTAAAAAAATATATGCACAGTTTTTTTAGTTCATATGCTTAATTTTTGTTCAAACATTTTCGTTTTTTTTTCTCTAATTTCTTATAATATTAATACTTGATGGAATAGACAGATATTATTATTTACATGGAAAGTAACTAGTATAAGAAAATAAAAATAAAATATTTTTTTATTCGATAAAGTGAAAAAAAAAACATTTTATATTATAACGTAAATATTAGTTTTCACTCATATATAGACTCGTCTACAAAAAAATTATCATATAAAATTATTTCATTATTTATTTTTATATTTTACAATTTTAATATATATATATATATATATATATATATATACTTTTAATTAATATTTTAATAAATATCATAAATATAAAAGTAAATATAAAAATAAAATGAATAATTTAATATATATTTATTTATAATATGATATTATTTCATTAATTTTAATGTAAATATTTAAAAAAATATAATAAAAATGTTTTAAATTATATATTAGAGTAAATATTATTAAAATAGATATTTATTAAAAATATTAGTTTAAAAATTATTTTATTAACTAGATCCTTAATATTATTCAGCAAGTCGTGTTTAATTTTTTTTCTTTACTTCTATTTTGTTATTGAGTTATATCATTAAAAAAATAGAAAATAAGAAAATAAATAAATAAATAAATAAAGACAGTGTTATATATATATATATATTTATTTATTTTTTTTCAATTTTTTTCTTTTATTTAGATAATATTTTAAACATAAGCATATAATTTTGTTATTTTCATAATTTATAATTTTATTTTATTTTTAAAAATTGTATTACTTTATTTATTTTATTCATAATAATTATTTTTATTATAGAAGAAGAAAAATCAAATAAAAACAATAAAACTTAAAATTTTATTTTTTTAAACAAGTTACAAATTAAATTAAATTGAATTTGAAAATCTTGAAAAAAATTTCATTTACAAAAAATATAAAAATCACTTCAATTGGTATAAAAAGATTAATTGAACAATTATTTATAAATAAATTAATAATATAGGAATACTAATAGACTTAAAGACAAATAAGTGAAAATAATTTATTTGCAAAATTAATACTAAGTATAATAATATGTTAGTGCAATTCTTCAAAGTTTTTATAGTTAAGAATAACTAAACTATATGCGTAAACAAGTTAGATATTTGATGATAAATGGACATGATTAACAAATGTATAACATGTAAAAATAATAATACAAATTTTCAACTAAAAAAATAATTAATATAATATAAAAATTAATTTACATATTTAGTGTAATTATGAGTTTACTCTATAACATTTTGAAATATTATGTTATATGATTTTAGTTTCTCAAATTTAAAAAATTCCTAAAAAAATTTAGAAAATGATTTTTAAAAAATATTTGTAATCATTATTAAATTTAGTAATTAAAGACTAAAATAATGTTTTATTTAATTTAAGAGATATTTTTAATTTAGGAAACTAACAAATTATTTATCATTTAAGATTAAAGACATAATTAAATCCATATATTTCTTTATATATTTTTAAATTGTCTAAGCTATTAAATTTCTAGACACGGTTCAAATGTAACATCAACCCGTAATTTATTTATTTTTATTAACAAAGGATAACAATTTGATTAAAATACTAAATATGAAATTACAATACAAAACCAAACTAAACAAATTAGCGGCTAAAAGAGAAAATCACGCAAATTATAAGAAAAAAATATGCTGCATCATAAAAATAAGAAAATCTCAAAAACCAAATCATCAAAAAGGTAAAAAATACCTTTAATGTATGGTTCTAAACTATCAAAATACTCTCTCCAAAACTATTAGGCAATGTTCAGTGAGCCCAAATATGTTAAAAAAATTATTTTTATTTATTGTGTTATTAATTATCTTTATTTTGTTATATTATTTTATAAATTATCAATTAATTATATTTCAGGTCATTATTATCTTTTAAATTATAGATATATAACTAGGAAGTAAATCTTATAATTATCTAATAGTTAATATTTGATTTGAGTGTCCGAATATCTTTTGTGGGTCTCTATGTTTTTTCAAAAATTATCTTTAAAATTGATTTAAAAATCAACTAATCAACTTCATTTTCCTATCTTGTTGATCATCTTTAATTTGGTAATAATAAGTTATAATGTTGTGTTTCGATTTTGGTCAATTAAATATTTTAAATATAAAATAAAAGATAATTAAATATTTAAATATATTGTCTTATTTTTATTTAGTATTTATTTTCATTTTTATATATTATTAATTTATATCTATAGTATTATATGAAATAAATTTTTTTTCATCATTTAATAAATTATTTATCTTTTATTTTTTTACCCATCTTTTTTCAATTATATCAATTATATTTTTTTCTCGATTATTTTTGCAAATATAAATCTACACCATTATATAATTTTTTTTCAACCTTTGTTTGATGTTTTAGTTTAAATTATTTATCTCTATTATCTATTCTTTTAATTATATGTCCTCCTCTTTTTTCTTCAAATATAAACGAAATAAATAAAATTAATTATTTTTTTCTCCTTTTTTACATGTTTCACTTTTTATATAATTTAATAAATAAAAAGAATTAAAAATGGATAATTTTTTTACTCTTTCTTTTCACAACTTATTCCACTTTTGTCTATTTTCAACCATGCATAATTTGATGGATAAATATTTATATTTTAAAATTAATATATAATATTGAAAAAAAATTGTAATATTTTGATTAAAAATATAAATTTTTTAGTTGTATCTCTTTTTAAAAAATCTATATAAAAAATATATGAAAATTGAAACAACTCCTTAGTATTTTTCTTTTCTTCTAAAATATTTGACAGCACGAAACAAACTAAAAGCAATGTGATAATTTTATAATTAAAAATAAAAATAGGAAATAAAATAAAACTAAACAAATCTTAATTTTTATATTTTATTTAATTATTGCAGAAAAAATATTTTGAATGAGATAATAAATTAAGAATATTTGGTCTTAATTGAGTTACTTTGAGATTTGGAAGGTCAGTTTATATATTTACAAACATTTAATTTTGATCCCTTCTTACGTGCTGGATTTGATCAAAATATCATGTGATGCCTACAACCTGCTCATAATAAGTCCTATAATGGGCTTCTTTCCCTTATAACATAAGGGTTGACCTTCAACATACCAACACTTAGACAATTATTTAGTAGATAAATTAAAGAATCAGAATACACTTAGACAATACTTTTGAAAGGATAATGTTCTAATAATATAACTAAACAAATAAATAAGTGAGACTTAACCAAAAAAAGTGAGATGGCAAAACAATAAGCAAAATTTATTTGAAGAAAAATATATATTACATCAATAATCAAATATTGGATGGAACATTAGAACCTATAAAAACCTATAACCTCTCTCTGCTTGTACTACACTCTTGCGTGTATTCACAGTCTTCTTATTCATATGCAAAAAAATGAATGGAAGATAGAAATAAAATCAAAAAGCTAAATAAATAATTCCCCCCCTTTTTTTTAATACTGAATAATACTCCTTTTCTTTTAAAAGACGAAACTGGGGTGTGAATTTAATGAAGTATACCAGTAATAATATAATGTATTAAATATAATAATAAATGCTTTCATGTAACTGAACCAAGCTTCAGTTTCACACCCTTTAGCGGCGGTTACACTGCTGAGGTGGCCTGATTTTCCGCTTCCCGGCGTTGAAGGGGCACGCCGTCTGAACCGGTGGCACCATGCAGTTATACTGCAAACACAGGGTGCTGCTCACCGGAATCTCCGCCGTCGGGCTTATCGCAATTCCGGTCAGAAAATTGTGCTGCAGATACAGTATTTGAATGCCCGCCGATAATAACCGTTCCACGAAGCTGACCGGAACCTGACCCGTGAACCCGTTGTTGTTCAGGTACAGGTTCTGCACGCTCGCTAGCATGGGCGACACCTCACCGGATAACCTATTGAAGCTGAGATCAACGGTCTGAATGGTCACCTCATTGACCGGTTGGACCGGGCCGGAGAATTGGTTTCTTTCCATTTGTAGATTGGAGAGGGGGAATGAGAATATTTGGGCCGGAATCGGGCCTGTGAACTGGTTGAAGCTAAGGTCTAAGTAGTTAAGTCGGTTGAGCCGGGTTAAGAGGCGGTCCAAGGGGCCAGTTAGTTTGTTCCATGATAGAGAGAGGTACTGTACGGAGGGAGGGAGAGAGTACGGTGCGAGGGAACCGGAGAACGTGTTGTGCTTCAGTTCGAGCCGGGTAAGGGAATAAGCCGAGGCGAACGAGGGAACCGAACCGGAGAGGCGGTTGTGGCCGAGGATAAGGTTGGTTAGTTGCGGTAAGGTTCCGATGGACGGAGGAATTGTTCCGGTCAGCTGGTTGTAACTGAGATCGATGGTTCTAATATTGCGAAGCTGGCCTAAACCCACCGGAATCTCGCCGGAGATGAAGTTCCGGCTGACGCCGAGGAACCGGAGGTTTTTTAATTGGGAGAGAGACTGAGGGAGAGGGCCGTATATTCTTCCAGGGACGACGGTGAGGTCGGCGAGAGCAGAAAGCTTGGAAATCGAATGGTCTAGTTTTCCGGTGAGACCGGGCGAACCGGCCCTGGGGTCGCCGAGGTTGAGCGCGACGACTTTATCGTCGTTGCAGTAGACGCCGGCGAAGTTGCAGGGGTCGGCGGTGAAGTCCCAGGACGCGAAGAAATTGGAACCGGGGACATCGTGAAGCGATTTCCGAATGGATTGCAGAGCGAGGAAATCGTTGGGGTCTAGTATTCCTCTAACCGATTGAAGAAAGCACGTGAAAAGCAGAAAGTAGGAAGCGACGTCCATTGGAAGTTGGAGAGAAGAAAATGGTGGCGAAGGGGTTTTATAGCAATGGGGAGGGTTGCTTTTTGTTTTGTTGTGCGAGGGTTTCTCGTGAGAAATGGTGTGAAAGTTTTAATGGCGGAAACTGGTGATAGCTGGCTTACTTAGGCTTGGAGGAGAAGCAATTCCTTGCTGAATCTGTGTTACTTTTGTTGCTTCAATGCCTTTGCCTTTGCCTTTTCATCATTTCGACTTCTCTCACAAGGCGCAAATACAATCACTGCAACAATATACCCACACTTTTTCTCTCTCTATATCTGCTGCAGCTAAAATACAAATCGCTACCATCTTTGTATGGCTGGCAAATTATAATACTATTTCCTATTTGCACAGTACACGCTAGTTTTTGTCATTCTTTCTTGCTTTGGAGCAGCTTCGGGTCAAAGGTACAGCTTTGGATTAAACGGTTGTCCGAGCCTACCTGGGCTCCAACCCAACCCAAGTGTACGTTTTAGATGGGAAACACTCCTGACAACGTTGTATGTGCATGTGACACGTTAGAAATAACTATTATTATTTATTATTGTGTTGTAAATGTAAACGTTACTCGTTCTTGTTTGTTTTTTTCAAGGGAGGAGTGTTGGGTCACGGTCCAAGAGTGACAGCTAAGCAGAGTTCATGGTAAAGTAAGAGGTAAACTGGTCCGGGTTGGACTCAGATTCAGTTCCACCCACTTTAGTTCAGTCGATGACGAAGACGATGGTTCATACTCACATGCTTCTTGTGACATGCAAGGGTTTCTGTCGTGTTTTGCTGTATAGCAAAAATCTTATCTCACAAATAAATGTCTGTACCTTCTTTTGCTTCCACTCATTTATTCAAGTTCCCCAATGGTCTACATAGCATGCATAATTATTAGTGAATCATAAAATATATATATATATATATATATATATATATATATATATATATATATATATATATATATATATATATATATATAACTTGAAACACAATGTTGTAGTGACTTGATTGCCAATTATTTTGTACATACCGTATTAGATGTAAAAGTTGCAAGGGACCAATGAATTGGGTTACGTAGTATAAAAGAAACAACCAACATTCTCCAACTAGGTGAGTGGTAACAGTGATAGTGAATTGCGTTGAGTTGAAGATAATATATTTGCATGCACCAAAGCTTGTTTCACCAACTTCTGTCAAGTATAGTGAATGAACATAGATCATCCTCTTTCTTGGAGAGGAAGATTGTGAGTAAAGAAACATGACAGAATCAGATTTTCATGATTTGCGCCTTCCTCTATATTTGGGAAAGTTTATTCCTTTCCCTGAATTCTCCATTTCTTTCTTGGTTTTTTCTTTCTCACTTATACAATTTTTGAGCTCCTTTTTTACCTGGGTCAAACTCTGTGGTAAAATGAAGCTATTTTTTTCATCCATAACTGATAAAAGAAAGAATTTTTACTACCAACTCTGATACCATTAGAGATCTGGTTGTCCCTTATTAAGTTAAATTATTTCATACTCCGATGACATGGCATGAGAGATAAGAAATATGAATTAAGATACTCTTTCAGCAACCATTACAATAAAATTGTTTTTAATTGGCCTCATAAGTCATATTTTAGATATCCATCATAATTACTATTAAAATTTTAAAAATAGACTTAAACAAAAAATGAAAAATAAAAAAATAAAAAAATAAAAAAATAACAAAGATAAAGAAATGAGTAGGAAAATAGAGTATTTTGATAATAAAAGAAAGTGAGAAAGATCTATTTTGTTTAGTTCGACTAATGTATTTTACTTTGCATTCATATTTGAGGGAAACAAATTAAAAAAGATTATTTTATAAAATTATCATTTTTTTAATAAAAATATTTTTTCTCATGTATATAATTTTAATTTAATTTAAATATGTATATTCACTTTCATTATATTATTTTTGCAAGGTGTGATAAACATAAAGGTTATTATAGAAATTAAATAAATAATCTATTTTTAATTAGTATTATTTTATTAATTTAAACTCATAAAATTTTTAAAAATTATAATTTTAGGATAAATTTTTTTAAAATATATATCAAATTATATACTAATGAAAAATATATCTTAATTTGAACATGTTAATTTAAAAAAAGTATTCTATTTATAGAAAATAATTAATAATTATATGAATAATCTATAATTATATAAATGCTTAATTTAAAATTTTAAATGAATAATTTTTTATTTTTGTGTTACTTTTTTTATCAAATTTATTTATTTATTTATTTTTTCTTCATTGTGGAAATGTGTCATATGTGATCCCTAAAAAAGTAAATTTCAACTATCATATGTTATCCTTATTGTTATATATATATATATATATATATATAAACTAAAAAATAAACGTTTTTCAAGGAAGGACATATGTAACATCTTTTGTTAGACGAAAAGTTAAAAATAGATTATTTATATTTGAGAGATAAAAACGAACATAATTATAAGAATTAAAAACATATTAATTTATATTTAAAAGATATGATTTTGATCTATTATAAATTTGATATCATAAAAATATTAAAATATATTATTTATATTTCATTGTAATATAATAGAAAATACTAATAAAAAGTTAATATTTATATTTACTTGAAAAATATACCAACAAGACTAACATTTCTTTTAATATCACTTATCAAACTAACTAAATTAATCGACAATGTAAAATAAAGGATAAAGATAAAAACAAAATATAATGATGATTTTAAAATTATTATTTTAATTATTAAAATCGACGGTAGTTTAAATTTATTATTATATTATATTAATATATATGACAATAATTATATTCATAATTATTATTATATAAATTCTTTTATAAGATTTTATTATTTATTTATTGTTATTTTTTTCTAACATAACATAAATACTAAAGAAATTTTTGGCGATCATACAAGTTATGTCTTCAATCAAATAGTTTTTTTTTAACCATCTAAAAGAATTTTTACGAAAGTGTATTGGAGTCTTTTTTTCTCTTGTTATTCTTGTTTGACATTTCGAGAGGGATTTACCGTGGAGAGACAATACTAATGAGATAGAGTCTAACTCACTCTATCAGAAAGACTTTCAATATAAATATGATATCACTTGTTGGATCTTTTGAGGGGAGATTTATAGGGAATAAATACACTAATGAGATATGAACTCAACCCACGTAAAGATTGACACAACTCTCAACCTAAAATCTTAAAGTATTGAGTTATGAGTCATACTTCCTTATATGTTGCTCAACTTTTCATTCTTACAAAATGTAAGACTTAGAATCACACTTGAATTACTGACACTCCCTAACAAAAAAAAGTGTGATATACCACAAGAAGAAAGATACTCCATGAAGGAGATACACTTTCTTCCTCTTATTCTCTTTTGCAATAAGGTTAAATATGTTAGAAGTATTCATGACAAAGGAAAACACTTCATAAAGGAGAGAAAGATGGATATGAGGAGAAGAAGAGTGATTCACAATGAAAAGAGGAAAAAGGAAAAGAAAGAAGAGAAAATGAGATACACATAGTCAATATGATCAACGAGTGACATACAATAATAATTATACAAGAATCATCGTTAAAAAATTAGATATATAATAATTATTATATACATATTCGTTGTATGTTAGCTGTGACAATTATGGAAAAAACTATTATTAAAAAATTATTATTTTGAACATATAATAATTTATTTTATAATTATTATCATATGTTAATTATAAATAAAATATTGTTAAAAAATAAATAAATTCCAAAATTTACATCACAATAATTTTTTGTCTATGACCAGGAACTTAATAACTATTATAGTAATCACGTTAATTTTATGATCAAATAATTCATGACTATAAAGAAACATAACTATAAAGAAACGTGTGTACCTACGACCATTCTACCACTTTATTTATTTATTTATTTAATGATACAATGAGACTTTATAATATTTTGTATTTAAAGTGAGAAATATTTAGAATAAATTTTAAAGTATTCGATGAAGCATTATATAAATAAAAGATGACACAAATATACACACTAATTTAAATTTTGGAATTTTAAAGCTATCTTTCTATGTCATGTTATGTGTATTAGCTAACTTATTAACCAATCTTTATCAAACATTTTCATGAATTTAATATGTAATTTTTCAAATTTATAGCTTCTAACACAAAAAAACTACTAACTTACAAGATTTCAATTCGCTTGTAAAATAATATTGCCTATTACATCTAAAATTTAAAATTTAATATATAATCTTGCCTATTACACCTAAAATTTTAAATATATGGTATTACATCAACAAATCATGCTAAGCTGATTTTCATATATAATTAAATGTTAATAAAGTCTAATTCAAGTCTAAATATATAATCTTCTCAAAAAAACATGTTGAATAAAGACTAAATAATACTTCAACCCATACTTTCAATACCGCTAAAATGAACATCGTAATAAAATGAAATTAAATATATACATACATTCCTGTGAGTGATTTCAATGTTCCTTCCATCAAAAAATGGAATTCCTCAAATTTAAGGATGTAAAATACATTATTCCTAATAAAAAGAATTAAATAAACGATTTTGACTTACACGTGAAATGTAGATTCCCCTTTAATAATAAAGAATTTTTGAAAATTTATTTTTATTGATTATTTGTCATACTTCAATGACGAATACAAATATCAATTTATATATTGTTACAAAATCTTAATCTTATCTTAGGAAATAAAATTCTCAAAATCAAATAATAACATATCATCAATATCAAAATGTTTCAACAAACTCCTAATTATCTTTTTTTATTTTATTTAATTTTATCCTAATAAATTCTTAAACTAATTGTTTTCTTATTATCTTTTTAATTTAATTTTATTCAACAAAATTCTCCTAGTAAAATTAAATCTCTTTAACAAAATTGAGATCGGCTTGACCAATCTTCTAACCCCAGACTTGTTGAGCTTTTAAAACTTTTTGA